ATATAGCACTTTACCGTTATGTTCTAACCTGAAAGTCACATGACTTATACCTGATCTGCGCCGAGAACCGGTCACAAATCGGGTGGATCGATCAGCTGCCATTCAGGTTAAAATCGAAAACATATAATAGGGCTATCGGGTATATGAAATTTACCCGGTAGCCCTTCATTCGACCAGTGTGAATTGATTAAAATAAAGTTGTATGTAAGATTAATTTGAACATTCAATCCAATTAATTTTAAAATAAAATATGTATATTTTTAATATTTTTGTCAGTTATTCGTGATATCAGAAAAAATAAAAAAAAATTGAAAATAAGGGGTTTTATATGAATAAACGATTATCTTTAATATTAAAATACTTTTTTTAGTAATAATTTTAATATACCTCTTTGGATTATATAATACAAATACAATAAATAAATATTTTGCGATATGTGTAAGATTGATTCAGTATTACATATCAGTGACTAATTGTTTAGATATTGGGAATTCGATTTTTAGGCATATTTAATATGTTACATATCAGGTACCTGATATGTAATAAATGTCTGATATGTATCTGATTAGTCACTGATATATAGTACCGATATGTACCTGATAGCATTAATTTTAACCAGTGGTTTACTCAGGTTTTTCTCATTGTACTTTGAGTTTTCCTGAGGTTTATGTTTTTATTTTTGGCTTTTTGTTTTTCTTGTTTGTTTTTTTCAGTATAATTTTATTTTCTTTGGGGGATGGGGGGATACTGGAAAATTTGATCGTCATGGTGGCTTGGTGTTACTAATTTTAAAAATTGATGATCACTCAGGTGATAAGAAGGATGACAAGTTGGATATCGCAATTTTTGTAGTACAGTTAACTCCCTCTATAATCACTTCCATTATAGTCACATTCTACTATATAGTTACACCAGTTGAATGTTCAAAACACTTTATTATTAAAATCTATCCTATATAGTCACAATATATCTATAGTCACTATCACACTTATCCTCAAAAATCTTATATTAAAAAAAACTGTTTATAATTACAGTATATAATGAAATATATTAAATAACTTGGCATCTAATAATCGTATAAAGATGTACCATAGCTTGTTAGAATCATCTTATTGAGACGAATCAAATGGTAGTAATTTTATCTTTTTATGATCACTAGCTGATGAGTTATTCAACAAAATGTTAAACATCAGCATTATAATATTTTTTGATTTACGTTCACTGCGCCACTTAACATTTTGCTAAATTTTTCAGTACCTAGTGATTATAAAAAGATGATTAATAGCTCGTTGAAATCGCCTCATCAAGACGAATCGAATGGTGGTAAACTCATCTCTTTGTGATCAATATTGACAGAGTTACTACTTAAAAACCATTTAATATTTTTTAATTTTTGGAAATTGATCTAGTAATTGAATTTCGATGTATCTTATACCATTAAATTTATCTCATCAAGACGAATTGAATGGTAGTAAGATCGTCTCTCTAGGATCAATATTGGCAGAGTTATTACACAAAAAGCATTAATATTTTTTAATTTTGAAAATTAATCTAATGATTGGATTTTAATGTATTTTACACCATTAGAACCATCTCATTAAGACGAATCGAATGGTAGTAAGATCATTTCTCTCTACGATTAATATTGACAGAGTTATGATACAATAAAGTTTTAAATATAATTCTAACCAAAATTATGTTAATTTTTGGCCAGAATTATGATATACAAATATAAGAAATTTTTTATATAGTCACATCTCTTTATAATCACCAAATATAACTGTCCCAAATGTGTGACTATAAAGAGAGTTGACTGTACCCTTTAATAAAATATATTTTTTAATTTTTAAAATATATATTTAATAAGAAAATTTCTTAAATTACATGGATGTGTTCATACATGTATCATGCTTTATTAAAAGTTATGTAAAAATAAATTTTAATAAATATAATTTTAAAAAAATATGTGGTATATGTATTTTTGTCTGTTTTATAAGTTTACTTGAAGTATTAAAATTGATTTTGATTTATTTAACAAATTCTCTTTTTTTTCTTTTTTTGTTAAATTTAATTCTGCCCAACATTAAATGATCAATATAGAAAATTTACTTTTGAAAACCTGTATTTGAAATTATCATTTAATAATTATCTTATTAATTTCTAATTTTTAATTAGTATTTATTTAAACTTTAAAATTTTTTAATAAGATTAAATTTAAATGTAATAAGTTAATTTTTAAAAGATTATATTATAGAAGTTTATTGTTTATTAAAAATTTTAAAGAAATTGTTTATTTTATAGGGTTTAATATATAATACCTTTCTATTTTCTATTTTTACCATCTAATTTTTGATAAAAAAATACTATTAAATTAATAATTATTACTGGTTATAAGTAATAAAATTCTTAAAATATAATTACTGATTTTTTTATTTTTTATTTTTTTTTCTTAAAAGTATGAATTATAATAGTAAACAAGTGATATCTTAAATGATTATTTTTAATTTTACAACAAATTTTCCATTTTGAATAACATCATATATTGATAATCAGTATGTGCTCTAGTAAAAGCATCTTCAGATAATCCAATTTTTGAAAAAGAATGTTCATCATCAGGTTCCCATTTTACAATGTCAATTTCTGGTGGTTTTAACATTTCAATAAATTCATGTAAAATAGGTGCTGCTACATGAGGATTAATTGTTGAAGTATATTCAACCTTGAATTAAAATAATTTTATTAATGATATGTATATTTATATGTTAAAAATATTAAACTGAATCCAACCTCCACCAGCATTCCTTTGTAATTAGAATTAGTGGTTTTAGGATATGCAACACGAATTAAGAAATCGCCAATAATATATGTATTGCCCTGAATTAAATTTAAAATTAGTATTGCATGTCAAAGAAAATAATTTAAGCATAAATAAAAAAAGATAGAAAAAAAAAATTTTTTAACAAACATCATAAACTATGGTTTGTCTAAGAAGCCATAAATTTTTTAATTTTTCAAGAATGTTTTCCATTTCACGTTCAGCCTCAACAATTACGTCGTCTATCAAGCAATAAATTTTATTGGTGTTATAGAATTCAGTTGTATACATAAATTTACCAGTTCCTGTACTTTTGATATCTCGATATAATTTAACTTGTATAGCCCATTTGTCTTTTGCACTCCCGAGTAAAGTAGTTGTTATTCGTTCATGAAATTTCATCATTCCTTGGCCATTACTATCTTTCCATAATAACACACTATTATAAAACAAAATTAGTTATCAGCTAAATGTGTTAATGACAATAAAAACAGATACCTTGTTACACCCATTGTTATTTTTCCTTTGAAGTTTCGAAAGCTTAGCTATGTCATGCGGAAAATTTTTTTTGTTCAATATAATAGCCAATAATATCATATTATAGCACGGGACCATTGATCCTCCAATCAAACTTTAGTGCTTGGTTAATATATAAGATTAAGATTAACAGGTAAAAATTTCCTCCTCTTCCAGCTCTTTAAACACTTTTATATACTCGTATTTGTGTAGAGCTTTCAGCATGGGTTTGTAATTTTACATTTTTATTTTTTTTTTTTTTAAAAAAAAAAAAAAAAAAAAAAAAAAAAAAAATAATTTANTTTTTTTTTTTTGTGGGTTGGACGTAAATTTTTTTTGCTGGTTGGGCGAAATTACTTAGCCGTTGGCAAGGTAGACAATCCATCCATCTTAAATTATTATTTAATGAATGTACATCCAGTTTATTGATAATTTCATTCTTTGAATTGTAAAGAATAAACGACTTAGTAAAGGAAAGAAGGGGTTAAAAAAGAAAATGTAAGTCTGTAGAAAAATTATATCCGAGAATCAACTAATAAAGAAATTATTATTTTAAATTATCATCCCTGATATATCTAAGTTTATTTATTTTTAAATTCAATTATTATGCGTTGATTCCATTTCTCATAATTTTATCAAATTACAAAACCTTCAAAGATTAATTATATTACTAAATCAAAAAAATTATTTTCACAAAAATATTTTTAGCGTTGATCCTTTTACTAGAAAAGATTGGTATGATGTAAAGGCTCCTTCGATTTTTGAAGTTCGTAATATTGGAAAGACCCTTGTTAACCGTACGCAAGGTTTAAGTAAGTAATCAATCAAAAAAAAAAAAAATCGAGAGATTGCTTATATCACTTGAAATGAGAACTAATTACTAATTATACTAAAGAAAACGCCAACGACGCCTTAAAGGGTCGTGTGTTCGAAGTCTCTTTAGCAGATTTGAATAAAGATGAAGAACAAGCTTTTCGTAAGATAAAACTTAGAGTTGATGAGGTACAAGGTAAAAACCTGTTAACCAATTTTCATGGTATGGACTTTACCTCCGATAAACTTCGATCTCTGGTCAAGAAATGGCAGGTACGTTTAGGTGTTCTTAATATTTATTTAAATATGAGGATAATTTTAAATAAATTAATACCTAACTTTATTGCGACCTATTGTATTAGTCTCTCATCGAAGCTCACGTTGACGTAAAGACAACAGATGGTTACTTGTTGCGTCTTTTCGCAATTGCTTTTACAAAAAGACGACCCAATCAAGTTCGAAAAACTACTTATGCTCAATCATCTCAAATTCGACAAATTCGAAAAAAAATGTTTGATATTATGACTCAACAAGCGGCTACTTGTGATTTGAAAGAGCTAGTACTGAAATTTGTACCTGAATCAATTGGTCGTGAAATTGAAAAGGCGTGTCAGGGAATTTATCCCCTCCAATTTGTATGTATTGATAAATAAATGGTATTTTATTTTCTTAAAAATAAAAATTTTAACATATTTATTTATGCACGGCAATTTTAGGTATACATTCGTAAAGTTAAAATTCTTAAAAGTCCTAAATTTGATGTACAAAAATTAATGGAATTACATGGAGATAATATTGATACAGGTTCCAAAATGGGAGGTAGTGGAGATTTCAAAGAACCAGAAATTCAAGAATCTGTGTAAAAAAATTTTTTACTTGAAAAAAAGCATACTTATTGCATGATTTAATAAAAAAAAAAATTGGTTTATATACATTTATTATTTCGTAAACATTAATTTGTTTAATTTGTTTAAATTTATCAAGATAATATATTATGACTTAAAAATATACAATAATTACAATAATTTCATTCAAAAATGTAACACTTAAAATTGATTTTTTCAATAAATTTTTTTTTTAAAAAAAGTTCTTTATACAAGTCATTAATAATGACATTTTTTTAATAATTCTCAAATAGAGATAATATAAAATAAAGCATTGGTAATTTTGAATTGTTTTTTTGTGATGAATAGGATGAGATAATTATGTTGAAATTGCTTGATATATAATGAAGGTATTTTTTGAAAAAGAATATCTTTACAAAGAAAAAAAAAAATAAGCCACTAACAAAATTAACACAGATAAACAATTACCATAATATATATATATATAATATACTGGATAAAAAAAAAATATTCTAAAGAAATGATAACTACATAACCTTTATTACATCTTCAACCATCAATCAATTTATTTGTTCTCAACTCTCACTCTCCTCTTTTATACTCCTCATTTTCATATGAAAAACCTAACTCTGGCTAGTCCAGAATTGTTGTTGATTACGATTAGTAGCCTGATGATGCTGATAATATTGATGATGAGTCTGCGGATGTTGTTGATAATTATTAAAAATCTGAGCCTGTTGTTGCTGTTGACCATAATAATTCGGGTTATTAGGTTGTTGATGTTGCTGCGTTCCAGTCTGTCCAACACCGCCTGCAGATTGTGCACTAACAGACGTTTTATCCTGATATGGCTTATATTGTGTAGGTGGATTTAATTCGGTACTTCCATTATTGTTAGACTTGCCTCCTGTAGAGTTTGAACTTGCAGTACCAGCAGGTTGAGGATTATTACCACCAGTATTACCTAGAAAATTTAGAGGTATACCACTATTATAAGGTTTTTGATAATCAAGAACATTAGGCACAGGATGATGATGGATCTGTGCAGCGGCAACTTCTTCGTAACCTGTATTAGAAGTATGGGAATAATGGTGTGGAGTATTGGGAGTTGTGGGTGTTGTTGGATAACCATATGGAGATGCCCCAGAAACAGAACCGGGTTTGGTCGGATGATTATACATAGGATATATTGATTTATTTACATATGGTTGACCATAACCAGATTGTTGATAAGCAGCTGAAGGAAATTGGTTCAAATAATAATATGGATAATATTGTGGCATTCCAAGGGGATAAGCTTGTTGTGGATTTTGTCCTCCTTGTTGATTTGTTGATTGTTGTGTGCCAGTTGACTGTTGATTATTAGTTTGACTGTTGGTATTATTAGCTGTATCAGAAGTGTATTTATTATCCCGACCTTGATATCCAGTTGATGTAACTGGAGAAGCTTGTCCATATGTTGGATCATAATATCCCTACAATAATAAAAAAATGTATATAATAAGCTAAGAATGTTACAATAAAAAATAATTTTAATATCATCACATACCATTATGCGTTGCGCATCTGGTCCATACATTGTATTATATTCCGGAATAGGTCCGATACCAAACCCGGATAGTTGATTAGGTGGCTGATTAGGAAGATAAGATGCATATGGAGCACTAATTGGCTCTGTTAACCCTAAATGATGTTGTTGATTCAAATAAGATGATTGATCTTGTTGCTGCTTGAAGTAAGAAGGATTAGAAGGATTGAAGTTTTGATTCGGGGCATTCGCGAGCGCCCCAGTTGGAGCACTACTGACCGATGATGGTAATGCTTGAGCAGACGTTGTAGGAAGTCTATTAATAGAATTTGATTGTGAAAGAGTTGAAGATTGTGGTTGAGATGACTGTGGCGGCTGTAATTGTTGTTGCAGTTGTGTAGTTGGCTGTTGCAACTGTTGTGTCGCTTGCTGGGCCACTTGTTGTTGTGACACTTGTTGTAATTGCTGAACCGATTGTTGCGGGATTATTTGTTGTTGCTGTTGAATTGGAGTAGTTTGCGGTTGAGGTGAGGTTTCAACTGATACAGATGATCGTTCTTCAGTCTTAACCTGAGGTACAATTTGCGGTTCAGTCTCTGATGATTCTTCCACATTATTATTATTCGATATGCTTAAACTTCCAAATTGTACACCAACTCTTTCCAAACCCGCGCCTGTATTAGGCATTACAACAGGAGTATCTTGCTTCAATCTACGCGTAGCTGTACTCGTTTTAGCTTTAAGACCCGGAGGAGAAACTTCTTTTGCGCGTGGTGAAACATTTACAACAGGTGTAGATGATGTTACAATGGTAGCGGTTGGCGCTTCAGGAGAAGTAACTTCTCTAGCATATTCTTTCATTTCTTCAGCCTTTGTAGTTATCACCGATGATGTACCTAATGATTCCTGTGGAAGAGCAATGGCTGACTCTAATTTTGGCGCCTGAGGAGATTGTACAGGATTTGGAGATTTCGATATCTGTGGAGACACTGGTTTTACGATTTCAGGATTCTTATGTATAGGTGTGGATAATAATTCAGGTTTCGGTTCGGGTTTTGATTCAGGTCTAACAACCGACATATTAATAATATATGATTAAAAAAAAGATTAATATATAATTATATATATACATATATTTTATATATATATATATTTATATTATAAAAACTACATTGTAAACATTTAATGAAGACATGATCGAAAACACACTTCACAATTTGAGCCCAAGATGCCTTGGGCTTAGGAGGAATTGTCCGTAAACTATTTGAAACTGGTGATTTTGTAGGAGCTACAGATTTCATTACAGTGTTTGGAGATTTTGAAACTTCCTTCACATTTTTACCATTCTTAGTTGTATCAACTCCAAAATCGTCAGAGCCCCAATTATCTTTCGGATTATCTGCAGCCCAACTATCATTTTCTACACCCCAATTATCTTTAGGATGTTCAGTGTCCCAATTATCCTTTGCAACGTTGGAATCTCGATTATGTTTTAGGCTATCAGTAGCTTTGTCTATATCTCGACTTGTCGCAATATTATTATCCGTACTGATATTATTACTTTCTGTTGCATCAGCTGTCCGAACACCTTTAACACTCTGTTGGGTATTATCACCACTCCATCCGTCCGTAGGATTTTCTTTGCTCCGACTACTCTGAGCTTTGTCAATACTATCACTGGCCCAACTACTTTTGGCATTTTCTGCTGGATTTTCAGCTGACCATGAACCACCTTGGGCTGTAATATCGGTAGACCAATCTCCAATAACATTTTCAGTTGTCCAAGTGCTAGTATTATCGTTGCTATCATTGTTGTTATTTCTGGAGCTACTGGTATTATCAGTGCCCCATGCCTTACCGTGGGTGATGTTGTTTGTATCATCGTGATTGGTCCCATTTTGTTGACGTGGAGGTCGAGTATAGCCTCCTATTTCCGGAAAAAAAGAAAAAAGAATTATAATATCAGAAATAAATTATTTAATTTTAAATAAATAACATGCCTGAACCGTTTTCTCTTCTTGACCCTCGAGTACGATCACTATTTCTTCCGCTACGTCCACCCTCTAAACAAAAATAAACAAAATGATATTTCAAAATCGCCTTTGATAAAATATGATATTTTACACATGTTATTTAAAATTTACTTACCACCGCGGGCCCTGCCACGGTCACTATAACCACCTTTCTGATGTCCACGTTGAGCGTTACCAAATTGTTGTCCACTTTGTTTATTCTTACTACTATGTTCTTTCTTAGATTTTCGAGATTTAACCTCACCCCATTTAGAGATGTGGCCTATTAAAAAAAAGGGAATAAAATAAAGAAATCTTAGTTTCAAGTTAAATAAAAAATTCTTTTCGTTGTAATTGAGATCATGCAATATAAAATTTTTTAATTTATCTCTAGTCTATTATTTATTGTTTAAGGAACTATAAATGTCATAAAAAAAATGAATTGCTTCTACATGTCCAGTATCGATCAACTTCTATTATATAACAAATTACGATTAAATAAAAAGCTTATAATACTACTCTCATTCATAATTTCATAATAATTATAGTTTAGGTAAAAAATTAATTATTGTTTTTCTGAAACGCAATCGTTAGAATAATAAGACTATCATGAAAATTCTTGTGCGAATTTAAAATCAAAATAATTCTCTTTGCAGTTATTGTACTTTTGGTAAAAATTAAAGACTAACCTTCCATGATTCGATTAATTGTAACCTCAAGGTCTCCTTGATTTTCTTGCAAGGCAAAGAGCAAATCTGCTTCTGACCATTCAGTAGTTATTTCTTGTAGTTTCGTCAATTCGTTTTTATATTGAGATTTCAGATGCTTTACTTCTTCTGTCTCCGCTACTTCTGTGGCAGCGTGATTATTCTTATGTCCGACTCCTGCCGGATTCGTTCGCTGTGTATCATAGTCGTATGAACCCATTTTTATGTATGATGTGAAATAAAACGGTGAGGGATCTGATGAGGCAGACTTCTTTCTCTTTTTCCTGTTCGGGTTGATATGTTTATTTTATATGAACCAAAAAAATTTTTTGGTCACGTATAAAAGGGGTTCTCATCTGATCATTATAACATCCTTCATTTTGATTTGTCGACGTGTGACAATCAGCCACATCAAGGTCATCTGATGTGATATTAATTAATAAATTTAAATATATATTGTTTCTTGGTAGTTGGTATTATCTGGTTTTTTTATAATAAATATATTTTAGCACTTTCATTATAGACTTTTCAGACTTTTTAAGAATAATTTTAGTAGCATTAATATTTTTGTTTTAATAAAACAATTCTAATAAATAATATAATAAATGTAATTATAATTGAAAATAATATTCAATAAAAAAATTATATTATTTTACCATTAAAATCAATAAAAAAATGCTTTATTACCCTCCTAAAATTTATATTTTATATCATTTTTTTTTAAAAAAAAAAAAATTATTTCACTTTATATAAATGTTATTTATTTAAAATTATAAAGTATAATATAATAAATAACCAACTTTTCTTATATTTTTGATAATATCTCTTATTTTTATTGTAATCATAATTTACATTTTTTTGTTGAAAATTTACTAATAGGTTAAATTATTCAGGTTAAATCACTTTAGGTTAAAATTAATCTTATATATTATCCTAATTAAATTTCTGATTTTAATTATTTATATAACCTTTATACAATAAATTAGATGATTATAATATAATAATTTAGAATTTATTTGGATTTTACCACTGGTGAATTTTTAATTTTAATCACCATTGGTGAATTTAATAATTTTAAATGTTAATTTCACCATTAGTGATTTTTATGTTTAATTTACCTCTGGTAATTTTTTAATTTTAATTACCACTGGTGATTTTTATTATTTTTAAATTCTAATTTACCACTGGTGATTTTTATCTTAACTTATATTATATAAATTTTACGTAATTATTTTTTTATAGTATTCATTACACCTATGCATATAATAAAAAAATCATATAGGCTAATTTGTCTACCTTTAATTAAAATATTGATTTTATTACATTTTTATTATATAAAATACTATATAATATACAGTAAATTGGAGGTGAGTATTAAAAAACTTTTATTTAATGTTATTATACTATAAGTTGGTAAATATTTCTTTTAAATTAATATAATTCTTAGCACTTACTATATATATTAAAAATTTGTATCTCAACTTTAAACATAAATATCTCCAGATCTAATGATCTAATTGGCAAGCTCTTTTTTCGCTCATATAGACCAGATCAAGGGCTTTCCGAAGAGCCTAAATTTATAAAAAACGGATCAGTGGATCCCAAGATATTTGCATTTAAGCATGTTAAAAAGTTCGTACCTCAACTTTAAACGTAAATATCTCTGGATCTAATGATTCAATCGGTGAGCTCTTTTTTCGCCTATAAAGTCCAGAATAAGGGCTTTCCAACGAGCCTAAAATTATAGAAAACGGATTAGTGAATCTTGATATATTTGCGTCTAAAGATGGTAATACAAATTCCAACATAAAATAATTATTTTTATTGTTTGAAAATATCTATTATGATACTATCTTTTATACATCAGGAAATTTGTTTAGGCGTAATTTAGTGTAATATTTCGAAGGTGGTGTAAAATTTCGAAATATTACACTAAAAACGTAATATTACAAAAGTTTACGCTCTTAAATTTGAATAATTATAGTAATTTAAGAATATCTCGCTATCTACTGATCCAATCAAGATGATCTATAGCTCATTGGAATCAGCTCATCAAGACGGATCGAATGGTAGTAAATTCGCATTTCTACAGTTGATAGAACGCTTTATAGTATGCAGTAAAGTTTTAAATTAATAGAAAGTCATCTATCAAACGTATAGATATGATTTTACTACCATTTGATTCGTCTTGATGAGCTGATTCCAATGAGCTATAGATCGTCTTAATTGGATCAGTAGATAGCGAGATATTCTTAAATTACTATAATTATTCAAATTTAAGAGCGTAAACTTTTGTAATATTACGTTTTTAGTGTAATATTTCGAAATTTTACACCACCTTCGAAATATTACACTAAATTACGCCTAAACAAATTTCCTGATGTATGATATTTTTATTATACTTTTATAAACATTTATAGCTACTAAGACTATATAAATTTTTATTTTACTTTATATTTTATTAAAATATACTTACTTTTTAATAATATATGTTAAAAATTCCATATATATGAGAAATGGATTTTTTATTAGTGAAATGGGTTTTTTCACAGCTCTTTTACATTTAATAATTTAAGTTTTGCAAATGTAAATTTTTGTTCAACTTATTATTTAGTCAAGTGATCATCAATCAGATAATTTTTTGGTATTACAAAACAATTTTAAGTAACGAAAATTGTGCAAATCAATTCAATAACTCTTTTTAATGCAAAGTAAACAAATCAGCCCATATGTTTTTTGTTAACATATATTTAATAAAGACATGCCAGTTAATGTGATGTTATTTTACAAACTCCTTTGGCAAAAATCATTATATAATAAAAGCAGGTTGTGAAACATTTATAAATTTTTCAGAAGATATCTTTATACCAATAAATTTTTTTAATGAAAGTACTGAAAGTACTGAGTTAGAAAATACTATATCACCTAATAATAACCTTTTAAAAGAATCTATTGAACAACCTATAGAATTACTTATAGAACTACCTATAGAACATCTTAGCGAATATGTTTTATATCACTTTGATGATCATTTGCCGATCACAAGTTTCATTTTATTAAAAAATAATTAAATTATAAAAAAGTGCAAAGCAAAGTAAATGCCTAAATAAGAAAAAAAATAAAATATGGCACCTTTTATTGTTATATAACTTTAAATTAAATAATTTATATAATTTTTAATTTTTATATGCAAAATTATTAATATGTGATAATTTGAAGTTTCATGATAAAAATTGAAAACCAAAGTATACTATTACACAAAATGCAGATCATTTAGTTGATATGTAAAATACTAATTAATATTTTTAAATATTTTATATAATAATATATACTAAAATTTTACAGGCTATTTTATATCCTTTAAAAGTAATTATATATTAAATTATATTAAAATTGAATAGTTATTGAAATACTTTTACTATTAACAACTTTTAAAAATTAGTCAAATTATAAAATTTGTTAAATATTGTAGATATTTAAAATATTATTTTATTATAACATGTAATTTGCAATTAAAATTGTATTTATACAAAAAAAATTAGCAATTATTTATATACATTTTATAAGTTTAATATTGGCTAATTTTTGCTAAAATTGTAAATTTAGATTTACCATAAATTTTATTAAGAAACTTGCTTTTTATTTATTAAGTAAACTGATTCTTCATAGAAAAATACATATATTTATATATTTAAAAGTAATACTTACCTTTCACTAATAAGTAACATCTGGAGGTTGAAACTATAAAAGTTAGCATAACATAAATTTTTTATAAAAGTATTATACAGTCAACTCTCTTTATAGTCACACATTTGGGACAGTCCATATTTGGTGATTATTTTACAAGTGTATTGTATGTTTAGTGGCCACTACTTTCCGCACCTTCTATTGAAGGTTATGGAGGTAGGTCGTTCGTATCCTCACCATCATTGAACCACCAGATGTCATCAAGGCCACCTTTTAACCAAGACAACTTATCCAGCACGTCCATCAATCAGGCATACNACCTTTTAACCAAGACAACTTATCCAGCACGTCCATCAATCAGGCATACCCCAGGGACCCGAAGGCCTTTGAATCGGAAGAACACCACCCTACTCGTCCTTTAATCCGTTGCATGATACTGTAATGGCTACTATTATAAACCCCTCACCACTACTACTGTCACGGATGACTTTCGTCAGATAACCTTCAAACATCTAGACCCCTTCCATACCACCATATTAGGTAACAGGTCTCACTCAAAGGCCACTACAGCCCGCGATTACCCACCACCGATAGTACAGTTGTAATCTCCAAGTGGTATACTTTGTAGTGACCACCTTTACAGTAAGCTTGTAGGTGTTACCCAGGATCATCCCTTATGGTGGGTATCAACCACCAGGAATCACCAACCAGGGCCCATCAGAGAAGGGAATTGAACCCAATCACCAAGCTATCTGTCTGTACACGAACACTTTGGGTGGTCTATGACCTAACAGAAGGTCAAACTACCATTAAGACATTGCACCCTCAGCTTTACCATTTAGGACGACCATCTAGCCATTACTGACCCCAAGCGGTATCATAGAGTGACCACACAGACAGGAAGTCCCCCCTAAGGTATAGTAGTGACCTCAAGGACAGGACTGCGCACATGCCAATGGCCTCATAGGGAACGTTAAAAGGACACCATGACCCTTAGTTGAAATGTGCGGCCTAACCGTACACACTAATTCACCATGATGCAGTTCAACTACACTAATCCCTGTACCTTCACGCTATTGGTTATAGCGTCCGCAGTAAAATTCTTTTTATTTCCGTGGTCATGGAAATCGAACCTGCGACCTCACCATACTCAGGCTTAATGAGGGTCTCAGTGACTAACCACTAAGATAGGGTGACCAACTCATATATTTGGTGATTATGAGCAAACAGTCTTATGACTTTATCTTTTATTATAAATTTTTAAACGAAAAGTACAAAACTCAAATCGAACAATATTACAAATAAAATATAGAAAATTAAACATAAAAAATAAAAAAAACTAGCTTCACGATTCATACAAGTAAAGAAATCTAAACAAAATAAAATTAAGTAAAGAAAAACTAAACTATTACAGAAACGCATACCCCAACTTTACCCGAAGGCCAATGTTAGTCAACTATCCAGCATATCCGAAGATCCAATCTGTTACCAAAAAGAAATCCTAAGTAGAGGCTGAACTGTTAAGCGGTGCCAAAAATCCAAATGCGAAATCCAAGATCCCCCATGGATTATGTAAGAGGAAACCCAAGAAACCCAGAAATCCAAGGAAGCTGTCGCCAAGGAAGGTGTCAAAGAATAAGGAGAAACATTTGAGAAAGGACGAATAATAGGA